AAATTCTTTGCTGGCTTTAATGCCTGTCAGATGTGTATAAGAGACAGATATATATATATATCGACAAATATTTCACACGAAAATGTAAAACTATGATTTATAACACAAGGTGTTCAATATCTTTTTGATATGATATATTCCTTACCAAAATGATTAAATTCATATCAACTTCTATTTCCATTTATCATAATAATATATAACATACTTGAATACCTTAGATAATATATTGCTATGTTCTTCACAAATATCTTTGAGGATATTGTCGTTATATTTATCTTTAAGGTGACTGAAATCTTCATACGGTTCATCGCTTTCGTCAAAATCCATCAAGGACTCCACTTCCTTTTTCGTGAGGCATAACTTTGGATTTAACTCATCCACAACACGATCTGTAGGAATAGAAAATGAAAGGTTAATCCAACAGTCCATAGGGCAAGACTTTTTTAAATTTATTTTTTTATTGTACCTCTATTATTTTTTAAATTTATTTTTATTATTTTTTTTATTCATTTAAATTATTCTTTTATTTATTTTTATTGTTTTATTTATTTCTATTATTTTTTTTACCTCGCACACTCGCATTTTTTTCATTCAACAATAAAATTGATCAATTCACTAAAGCAAGGCGGCCGTCCTGAGACAAAACAACGTAACTAACATTTTTGTCAATTTTGAGATAGGGTCATTCCGGTTCAAATCAGTCAAACTATTTTGAAGTGCCCTTGTCACCCCACTTGGATTTTCCTTTAAAAAATTCTAAGAATACCTTGTTATGTCAAAGGAAAGAATCCCAAAATTTCAGCTGCGGTTTCTAAGTTATGACCTTTTGAAATTTGGGTAGCATATTTTACTAGAACTTTACATATAATCATAATGTCTACAGATAATAGTAATGCAAAATTTCAGAAGGGTAAAAAAATTTATTGCCAAGTTGCAAACATGCAAACTCTATTTTTCCTTGAAAAGTGAAAAGTTCAAGTTACATTGTTTTTTAGCCACAAAACAGCCAAAGGTATAAAAAAGTTTTGCCTAATTGAAAGTATTCTAACAGGCTGGTGTGTCCATGAGTTCCTTGGTAATTTTATTCTCAGTAATTTTATTCATTGTACAGTATTTCGATATAATGTACTTGTCTTTAGTTATATTTTATATGTACTTTGTTTACGAAATAAAAAATAAATGAAATGAAAATGAATGTAATTTGGCATGAGACCCCAATGGAAATATATATGAAACTGTAAATACGAACAGGATGTTATATCTGGTGTTAAGAAGATAAACAATTGTTAACAACCCATTTGGATATCTTATAAATAAACAACCTTAGAAATTAGCAGACCGCAATCAATGAAATCAACCTGAAGAAGTTTACAGTGTAAACAATAGATTGTGGTTGGTGGATCACAGTGAAGATAAAATTAAAGAATGAATGCATAAAATTCAAGGTTGTACTGAGATAAATTTTGACAACCTATCAGCTACGACAGGAAAAATTATAAAGTTTTGGACTCAAAAGCCCTAATGCTCACACAACCATTTTTACTAGGATGTTATTTTTTTAATAAAAAAAAAAAAATAGTTCACTATCTGTTAAATTTTTCCATAGATTATACCTTATGTGTAAGCCAGTCACACAGGTCCAATCGTACTACTACTACTACTACTAAATCCTTTGCAAGCCACTGGGGCTCATAGTGCTGGAGCTTATCCCCAGTTTCTGTAGTGTGAAGCGGATGAGAGTAGTACTCCCCCTGGACGGGACACTAGTCCGTCGCAGGTTAGTCCCCAGCAGATTGCTGGTACCCATTGATACAGCTGGGTGAACTGAAGCAATGTAGCTAAAGTGCCCAAGTGACTCAAAACCCCGACCTTACGATTGAAAGTCTGAACCTCAACCGCTGCGCCAAACTGCCGCCCAATCGTACAGTACAAGTAAAATAGACGAGAAAAAATATACAGGTTTATCAGCTTTAATAAATGCATTGTCTCGCTGACTATTACACATGCTTCCATTCACAGTACAATGACCTAGTTAGTGGTCAAAGTTGATCAATATTCCTAGGAATAACTAACAGGAAGTACATTCTGAGAAATGGACATTGAGGTATCTGCAACATGTTGTAAAGGTCATTATCGGAATAATATAGTTGGTATGTCTATTTTGTGAAGGGCCCCACTCGACAGTGATTTAGGTTGCTTTTGGGGTGTCCTTGTTTCGCAATTTAGTTGTCATATGTTATGTATTCGTGCTCGTGTTTTCTATTTTGAGACAAATGATAGAAATGAATTGAAAAAAAAAATTCTAATGGACATCCAGTATAGAGAGATACTCCTCTAATTAAAGACCGAAAATCAGAAAAAAAGCAAGTATGAATGAACACCATAACATAATTCATAGATTTATAAAGGCTGTATATATTTTGTATATGTACTAAATGATGCTTAATTACAACCTTATAAATCAGTTATGAAGACTATTTTCTGTGGTCCTAAATTAACAATTTTTTTTTAATCTATTATTCTAATTAGAGACCAAAGCTGCTAAAGATCATGGAAGCACTACATAGAACGCCACGCTTCGGTTGACGACCGTCAGTAACAGTGGGTGCATGGCATAACAGTTGTAAGACAAGCAGAACAGAATGATGCCATCTAATATTAAACTTTTTCAATAATCAAATAAAAAAATGTTAAGTTTCTAACCCGATATTCCTTGTTTTGAAATCTGGCGATCGTATATTTTCTTCTCCAATGTTTTGTCGGTCACAAACCTATAGACGAAACATTTCTTTGTTTGGCCGTAGCGATAAACACGACAGACAGCCTGGGCATCGTGGCATGGGTTCCAAGACGCATCAAACACAACAACTCTGTTAGCACCAATTAAGTTAATACCAAGAGATCCAGCTCTGCAAAAAAAAAAAAAATAAATAGAAGAAAAGGAGAGCACATTCCGAAGATAAGTCGTTTTTAAACAAATCAACGAAAAGAAAAAATTATGCTTATATCCTAGTTATTAACACTCTGACTGCCAGGGGTTAGAAAAATTAATATCAGCCACCGCCAGATATTAATCATGGGAAAACGAGATCATAGTAGTAAAAACGATTTTGTCGTTTTCCCATGATCGTCCTAGTGTGAAAACTTCTCTTACTTCTTTTATTTTCTAAATGAAGAACAAGTGCTTTTTAGCATTCTAACATCCTTGAAAGTAAACAGGCCTTTAGTCGGTGAAAACTACTTTTTTTGATCTGTTAATCATTGAAAGCTAATAATTTGATGCACGTTGTGCCAAAATGTAAAGTTGTAGTAAAAATGGAAACTCAAGTTATTAGTATTTTCAGATACCTGAATGTGTAATCTTTAAAATGAGGGGGTCATTTATTAAAATTGGACATTTCAAACCTAAGTTAAATTGGACAGCACTCCTAGAGTCAAGATAAACATGATTTTGAGTTATTGCCTTCTAAAGTTATTTGTGCATACATCGTTTATTAGAAATGACTATCAAAATTACGTTAAAAATAAACAATTTGTTGACAATTTCGAGAACTAATACTTTGGGACAAGGTTAGTAAGACATTAAACTGTTGATCTATAGTGTACTACCTTGTTGATAACAAAAACAGCCATTGCTTATTGTTATTTGGTTTGTTGAACTGACTAATCATCTTCTCTCGTTCCGATGGGGGAGTTCCTCCATCTAGTCCTGAAATGATAAATTAGGAACATTTATGAATATGTATTATAATTTCTTACTTTTTATATTATCTTGTTGATTTTTTTTTTATTCTTTGCTGGCTTTAATGCCTGTCCTCACTATCAATTTAGTTTTATAAATAACTGATGTATGTATGCCCATATAGAGTCATGATGTGATGTCATATATATATATACTGTCTCTTATACACATCTAAACAACGTAACATTCAGCTTCTTAATGAAGCTGTGAATGTGATTTAAAAAAAAACCTGTACTTGAACTTAAATGTCACATGATTTTGAGAAATTATCATGACACTACATATTCTTAGTGTCTTCCTTGCTTAATATATCAGGATCTGCAATTGATAGGCTCTATCATGTGACTCTTTTTATAAACACTATTGTAAAATTTTATCATTTCTATTCTGAATAATAATCTGTTTGATCTGAAATCATGTCACAGGTCTCCCTCTAATTAAAGACCTCTCCAATTAAAGACCACCTCCATTTAAAGACCATTTTTCTGTGGTCCCAAAGTCACAAAAAGAAGGGAAACCTGCATTATTTTTCTCAACACAGGTAACTAAAAGGACAATATCTGACAATGAATATTGTATTTATGAAATGAAAACAGAACAATAAAAATTTATAAATTCTTCAGCTTCACAAACAAATGAAATACACTTACGGAAATAAGATTCATTTCTTTGCCATATGGTTGGCATGTCTTCGGTGGCATTCGGCGGCCTCGGTAGCTTCCTCTGGCTCAGAAACTTTTCAATTAATGACAATGTTCCGAGGCTCTGACTGAACACAAGCAACTTGTCCCCAAGTTTGATGGATTCCTCTATAACCTTCATCAATAATATCATTTTGCTGCCATAGGATAACTTGAGGGGTTGATAATTCTTCATAATATCTCTTGCCTTCAAGCAAACAAAAATTGAATATATATTAGTGATTACTGAACAATGACAGTTTTCTGGGCCGTAATTCTTGTTTATTCAATTCATTTCTTGCCTTCAAGCAAACAAAAATTGAATATATATTAGTGATTACTGAACAATGACAGTTTTCTGGGCCGTAATTCTTGTTTATTCAATTCATTTCTTTTTTTCTCAATTAGTTTATCATATTTCCTTCATCCTACTTATTGTTCTCCTAGTGAAGTGAAAACACTCTTAAGTAAAGCAGTCACTCCATAGAGTGTATAACCTTCACCTCATGCCTGAATACCGAACAACAGGCAGACTGAATATAATGGGAGATTCCATTATTTTTCTGCCCTGTGGCATGAATGCTGAACAATATGCAGGAAAGCCATTAATTTATTTTCTTTATTGCTTGGGGGGGGAAAAAAAAAAATCATCAAAATTTGACATTGACCTTTTCTTCCCAAATTTGATCATCTCTTTCTTTGAATATTTTGTACCGTTTCGCTAAATTTTATGATGATGCTTTGCTTAGTTTTTTTGCAATCTTGCTAACAAAATCTTGAATACAACCTCCTTTGCTGGAGGTAACTTGGCTTATTTTCAATTCCCAATAACTGTCTTTGTTATACTTTTTAGACAACTTTAGTTCAAAATAATATTTGTTCTGTGTTGGAACTAACACATGTACACAAATAATGTGTATCCGTATGTTGTATACCAGTATTGCTACAGTATTTTGGGGGATAATAGCTCTTTGAAAGCTTTTAAGCATCAATAAATTGAATCAAAAACATTTACACAATTACAATCAACTTACTCTTAGTAGAATATACTACCATTCCTAGCAAAGCAGAAATGGTTTATACATACCCATTCAAATGATATAATGCGATTCACTTTTTCTACGTATGTGATGTTATCAGAATTACTTTCCATGTTACTGCTCGATGCAACGTCATTGCCAGCTAGCGTATCCGCTTTTTTGCCACATTTTTTCCCTTTCGTGTTGATGTCCGGAATATCGAGATCAAGATCGGCCATTGCGTCCGTTTTTTGTAGGAGAACATCATGCAGAATATCGGGGTGGTTCCATATCTAGACATAAATGAAGTCATATTATAATTATCACATTATAAATTATCTGATTCATAGTAGCATAGGTACAGTCCTCTCATTTTCATCTACCACTACCCTGTACCAATCTTCACGGACGGGGCCTCTGACATCTTTCAATATTTCTGCTTAAGCTCATTATATGGATTCTCTCAACAACAAACTTAAAGATTCAACAAACATCAACATGGTGAAATTCCTCAAAATTTACATAAGTACTGTAGTTATTGTCTTTTAGTTTACGTTTGTTTGCAGGGTTCATATACATCAAGCAAAAACTTCTTTAGGTCTCTCCACTCCATATAATGTACCATCATTATTGTTATGTACGAATGAAATAAAGATTTAAATAAACGATTGAATAAAGATTATTCATTTCATGTCATTTCATTTATTTATTCAGGCAAGTGCCTTGGGGCCACAAAGGCAACAAAGTCACCATGACATAAGTCGGGAGCCCCAGAAAACTAAACTTAACTACATGATTAGCTATACTATCTTAAATTGGCTACAAAATTTGGTGGGACTTAAATCTTCAAATAAAAATACAACTGAAATATTTAAACCTGAAATTTAAAAAAATCAAGACTAATCTCTAACTACACCGCATATCTATCTCTAATTTGGACGGAATTTTGTAAATTTACATCTCATTACTAATACTGAGGACTGCCAAATTGAAAACTAATTTCATTGGAGGAAGGGTGGGGGAGGGGAGAGACATACTGTACCTTGCAAAGGACAGAGAAGGCTTTGATTGGGTTAGATGAGCACCAGCCACCAGCACCCATCTCAGTAAAGTACTGCATGAACTTATTGTAGAGGCCTTGCTGGAACGGTGTCAGCCGCACAAACACCACATGTTCCTCCTTGTGAGGTAGAGAGCTGGTGAGAACCTGAAATCCACGCCGTTGAACGAAGCCCTCCAGCAGACTGTGAAGGACGTGTGCTCGATATCGCATTAATTGAACATCCTTAAAAAAAAAATTGAATAAAAACACATCAGATTTACTGATTTAAAGAATTTATACTACAATATTAAATTGTCTGCTAGCAAAATTAAACAAATCAGTAGTGATGTTGTTAGTATATGAGTGAGATACTTACCTGGATAGACCGATAAATGCCTAAGTTTCCTTTGAAACTTACCTTTCAAGCATAAAAGAAAAATAATGGACTCGCGCTAGCTCGCCTATAAATGCCCTGCGTGAATGAACAATACCCTTGTATTTAGGCATTTATCGGTTTATCCAGGTAAAGTATTCACGAAATAGACTTATGAGTCAATGCAAAGAAATGCTATTGACAAATTGAGTACAATTTTTTTTTTACAAATAGAGAGCATTTAGTTACGTATGTTCTTGTGACGCTGTGCATGATTTCTTCCAGATGCTGAACAAGCAAAAATGAGCACATGAACAGATGTAGTGGACCAACTCTGATTTTCAAGACATCGTGCTTGACAACACATTTTCTTTTTTGGGGTAAAGGGAGGAGGGGGTTTAAGGGTACACATATTTGGTTATATTGTGTACCATGCATGTGCCAGGCATATAGAGTGGCATCTTTATGTACCACGCACATGATCCACCTTCACCCATGTTTTTCCTCTGCATCCGCCCCTGGTGTCAATACTTTAGTGTCAAAAAAATATTTACCTTTGATGTACTATCTGTACACTGGCCATTTAGGATAGGTCTTTCAAATAGATTTGAGAATTCATGTTTGGTTCCGAGGAAATTAGGTCGTACGAAGTCAACCATACACCAGTATTCCAAAAGGTTATTCTGCAATGGGTAGCCAGTCAAAACCACACGTCGTCTAAAAATGTAATGCATATCGTTTTACATTTATAATTAAATTATTTATTGATTGATGTTTTTAAGTTTTTCCATATTTATTCTCAAGTCCGATGACAATAACTTCATATTTTTTCATGGAATAAAGACAAAGTGATAAGCAGAAATTCCCCCTAAGTTTTTGTAATGGGTATCAAAATATATTGATCGTAAATTTATATTAATATTATACAGTATCCGCTGCTACTTGGCGATCGGATTTAACACTAGCCATTAAGCGCAAGCTTGGTGGTCTAGTAGTTAGGGCACCAGACTAGTCATCTCTAGGTCGTGGGTTCGATTCCCACCCAAATCACTTGCAAGATATTTTTATGCAAGTATTTGGAGACGTACTGTGCATTCAACATGATAACACATCAGACGGCAAAACATCATTTCTATATTAGTATTGTTTACTAATATTACAATTATATTTAGATACATATAGGCCAAAGATTAGAATATATGCTCGTCCTCATCTTACCTTGTTCGTATATTCTTCAAGGCTTGTGAAGTGCTTGCGTGACTATTCTTGATCCTGTGTCCTTCATCACATATTACAAGATCTGGACCTGGGTTACTTAATGCTATATGTACTTCTACGACAAAAGATTTACACAGATTATCAGTGATATTGTTAATTTACTTACTAAACTACTATATTGCCTTTTTTCCTTGAACTGGAACCCCTAAATATTAATGGAATTGCCTGTTCCAGGCCACTGTACCCACGCTTCCACCACGTGTGCAAATGCAACCTTATTGCCTTATCAACTTTATAGTGATTAACACCTTCAAAAATTGGAATATACTATAAAGATAATTTATACTGTATTACAAGATTTACAAAACTAAGTATAGACGAAAACCAATCAAAATATAATTATTACAAGGATATTTTAGGAAACTATTTGAAATCTCTTTCTGGTTAAATTGAACAACTAAACAATATTATTTTCCCAAGAAAAATAAAGCTAGGATTTACACTGTTAGTTACCTTGATGACTAGATGAAGTATTTTTGAGTATATATATATATGTGTCTTTAGTTACAGTATATGATATGATATGTGGTATGGTGTGATCCTTCACTAATTTTTAAATGCAATTCCTGATTCTTATTGGTATTATGTTTTACGGTGATTGTGCATATCAAGAATAAATTGAATATAAATAGTGTGAACACATACATTAATTATGAAATTTCTATGTCTGTGAATCTTGAATTTCATTTCCAAGAAACTATAGACTATTACGTAGGACTGTGAATGCGTCACTGACTTAAGTCCGTAAGAATGGATCATTCTAAAGTATGTACTGTACAGTAAAGCTCTTTCCAGATCAAATTTTCTTTGACAAAAACCTGTTGTATGCCCATATATAGTCATGATGTGCCTATATATGGTCATGATGTGATGTCATCATGACCATATTTAGGCATGTCACATGTTTCTGTCAAATAAAATTTGATAGTCTGGACAGGACTTTAGACATACTTGAGAGAATACTTGTTATTTTATCTTCTTCGTCGAGATCAATAATCATTGGTTCTTTCTTTGCGGCAGCCTTTTTCCTTCGCTTCTTTATGGCGTTGGGATCGCCTCGTCTCAACGACAGCAATCGGTACATCTCGTATCCCATCAGTAACACGCCCCCAGTCTCATACCACTGGTCTGTAGAAAGAATCATTCATTGTACTTATTAATAACTTGTGACATAAAAGAATAAAGTTGATTATATATTATTGAAATAATTTTTAACATTAACAAGAATAACAAGAACAAGTGGTTTCAAACCATACTGTAATTTTAAACAAAGCATTTGGTGTCTGATTGCGAAAGTGGTCCAATTCCCTTGGATTTCTTATTTTGTATTGTGAATTTATCTTTCTCCAACTTAGTGGAGGCTATATATCTGCTGCTTGTGGATGGATTTTTGTAGTGTACCAAACAGAAATTTCTTTTCTTGAAACACAATAAAATACATCTTTTGTCTTGTAGCCCCCTCCTCCCACCTCCCTAAATGAAAATTAAATTAAGCTGACAATTGATAAAATTCAGAAGAAGCAGCAATGTTAATTTTAAAGCAGTGAGAAATAATTGTGAATGTTGAAAGACTAAAACCAATGACTGTGGATTAGAAGCTGAGCTTAAAGCCCACTTCTAAATCAAATGATGTCAAAGGTCAAGTAACATAAAAAAACAATTATTCTGGATTATCATCTGCATTTTTATATTGTTCATCTTCAGTGTACAGTAGTCAAATAATGCAACCAATCCTAAATAACTTCCCTATTACTAATTCTACTATGGTATAGGCCCTCAAATCTATAGACAGCATTTCTAAATAGAGGTTCCTTTGAAGACCCAAAGCCTCCGAAGAAACCACCATGCGATTTGTTTACGTAATAATAATAATAATAATAATAATAATAATAATAATAATAATAATAATTTATTGTAATCTAAAATCATTAAATCTTACCAATGAGTTTGCCTCTAGATTGAGTGGACTTATAACCATCATTTAAAACGTAAACTGGAAACTGTCTGCAAAAACCATTATCACTGGAAGAATTACAGCCGTCGTTCACACCATCACCAGTCGTTTGAGATGAACCAGGATCACTACTGTTCCTTGGCAACCACATGTCAAATTCAGACACCCAGTTTTGTAGTGTGTTAATTGGCACAATGCATAGCACACTCTTTGCAGTTGTATGCTCAAGAAAAACTGATATAAATGAGATGCATTGCAGTGTCTTTCCAAGGCCCATGCTGTGAGCGAGTATACAACCAAAACCAGGGCTTGACCGATATCGCACAAGTGATTCTACTAAATTATCATACAAGAACCTTATACCACCAATCTGAAATAAATAACAATTTTGAGCGGTTTAAAAATGGACCCCATTATAAAAAAGGTCAAGAACCAGGAATTTAAAGTATGCTCATTAAAAACAAGTTCTCGTAATCTCGAAAGCTCCAATGAGGGCAGTAAAACAGAGGCAGTAGAGTATATTGACCCTAACAGCCACCCATACAAAAAAGATTTATTAATCAATCAGCCAAGTGTTTCTAGAGATGCACATCGGAGCTAAAAATGCATTGGAATTTACAAAGAGAAGGTAGTCCCATATTCATTAAGAAACGTAGGGGAATGAGCAATTAGGAGCCCATCGTACTAAGCCTTGGCACTGTGTGGTAGAGTGGCCATTTCTTTTCCACGTCTTTTATTTTAACCTACCCAGTATATATTTCAACCAGCTATCCAATTATACTCTTGGGTGGAGAGAGAAAAATGTAGGTAAAGCCTTTGTAAAGTACACAAGCAAAATGCACAGCGATAGTTTGAACCCCCGACCTCGAGGCTGAGAGACCGAAATGCAACTGCTGCACCAACCACTAACAGTAGTCTGTCTTATGCCCAGCATTGTAAACTTTTGGGACTTACCTCTATTGAAGATTGTTTCTGTTATTTGTGCATTATGTCTGTTGCCAAATGTTTTTGGGAGAAATATTTACTTGATATCTTTAGGTTTGTTAAAATGAATACACGTCATCCTGACAATCTTACTTTCACTCATTCCTTTGCTACAACTAATGCCTTTAAATTTTCTGTTTTTAATGGGGCAGACTACCCAATGATATTAAAAAGACTCTATTGATTAACCTACGTTCATTCCGTAGATCTTTTAAAAGCATTTTACTAATACTAATAATAAAAGTAATAATAATAATAATAATAATACATAATTTTAAATTAGCATATATATTTTATAAGACTTTAAAAGGTATTCACTGTACTATATTTATTGTTTGTCTTGTGAGGGAAACCTCTTGATAGTGGATTCAGTTAACTTTTTGGTTTTCCTCTCTCTTTTAATGTTTTTTTGACCCAATTTTTGTTTGGCTTTGTTATACTGTTTTAATGTATTGTATTTTGTATTTTTGTATGTCTAAAATATTAATATATATTCTATACAGGTTTCAGCTCCTGTAGGAATTAGTTAACAGCTGTTATCTAAAGACAAAGCCACTTACCTGGTGAGTTTTCATAATCTTCGCTATAGTTTGAGGTACAAAAATATCTGGCTCATTGGGCGGATGTCCAACATTGACCAAGATTCGACCTTGGTCATCGGGAACGTTGAAACGATCATTGGTATGCAGACCGGCTACTTGAGTCTCAGTATCGTCTGCTTTATCAACGCTTAAAACAGTCAAGCCTTCATCCTCATCTGAACTTATTATCTCAATCACTTCTGTAAAGTCATTAAACTATTTATTTAGCACCTGTAAATTTTGAATTGGTACTATATATATTATTACCGTAAAACCTCGTCTAGGCCCCACCATCACACAGACGGTAGAGGGGATTGCCTGCAGCTGTCTGCAACCACTAGCCGAAGTAGGGATATTCGGCAAAGAATTTATCAGTAGTATATAGGCCATGGATATTTTTCTGGCAACTTTTAAAGTAAATCCAAAGTGTTGATTGGTGGAGCTGGCTTGACCCTAATTTTAAAGTTCAGTCTTATAACTTAATGCACTACGGAATGTTGGAAGAATTTGCCCGACCGGGGCTGAGGTCCACGATGAGGGGGCCGATACCCCGACGAGGGGTCAGATTTCCCCGATGAAAGCAAAGTGGGCGTGGTCGAGCTTCGATTGAATGGTTTCTAAAGTGGTCCCCGAAAATGTTGACAATTTAGGGGTTTCAAAGGCTTATTTAATCGATTTTATAGTCTACTAATATGTAGAAAATACATAATTTTTTGACCGGGGGGGGGGGCCCCTGGTCGCCAGCCCCCCCCTGGCGCTGGTGCTACAACTCGGGCCTTAGGCCCTCGGGAACGAAGATAGGGCTAAAATCTCCACATCACCTCGGGGCAATAGATTTCACGATTCCCCTCATGAGCAGTCAATATTTGTATATTATTTATCTTAAATTAAAGATTACAATATGAAAAAAAGTTTTTTTCTCAGTGTAATACACTCTGGATATTCTTCCAACATTCCGTAATGCATTAAGTTATAAGACTGAGCTTTAAAATTAGGGTCAAGCCAGCTCCACCAATCAACACTTTGGATTTACTTAAGGTTGCCAGAAAAATATACATGGCCTAAATACTATTGATAAATTCTTTGCCGAATATCACTACTTCGGCTAGTGGTTGCAGACAACTGCAGGCAATAGCAAATAACAATTCTTTGAAAACCAAGCTCACCTGGAGGTGCTTTAGCAAATTTATTTTTATTGTCTTCGTCACTGCTATCATCCAGAATTATCAACTCATCCGCAACTGCTTTACTCTTTGGAACTACAGGTGGCACTATTTCTACTGAAAGAAAAGAACATGGTCAATAAACGAGAAGGTAGATCCTGCAAATAAGAATATTAAGTACTGTAGCAGCAGCAGCAGGAAGAGTAGCAGCAACAGCAGCAGCAGTTGTAGCAATAGAAAAAGTAGCAGCAATATATATATATATATATTATAC